TTGACACGGCCACCAAGCATTTCAGGAGCCTTGGTAATATCAGACACATCACTATTTTCACACGCGCCCATCAGAGGAGAATAAAAAAAATGAGTCATTTTTTTCTTCTTCATGTTCTGTAGCTTTCGTAAAAAGGGTACGCTGCAGCTTACCCGATAGGAATACCAGCTTCACGGACCAGCTTGGCAGTACCACCAGAACCAAGGAGACGAACATTCAAACCATGAAGTTCACGAGCAAAGTCAACAAGACCAGTCTTGTCATACACGGAGAGGATAGCTAACCATGACCATTGTCAGTGGACACTGGTGCCATATTATGATATAGTCACTTACCAATCTTTTGAGCCATGTCAGATAAAAAGAGAAGAGTAAATGGGCTGTAACGCAAAAAAAAAAAAAAGAGAAAAAAGAAAAAAAGAAAAAAAAACCGTGATCGTCAAGGGCTTATTTTAAACTCCAAACTCCGCGCAGAAAAGCTTGTTTGACCAGGTCTTCCTCGGGACTTGACCAGGATGGTTGCCAGTCCCTAGATCATGAATCCTCGTCAAAAAAATTTATCTCCAAAGCCCCCCAACCTTTTTTTTAAGGTTTTCCGTCATTCAGAATAATGAGATGAGATGTTTGATTTTATTGTATTGTCAAAAAAAGTAAGGAAAAGTTTTTTTATTGCTATTTTTTCGGTCAGAGTGGTGGTGCATATAGGTTGTTTCATCAACATTTTCAGCCAACCATCTTATGATGGGTTATCATCCTGTGAAAAAAAGCAAAAAAAAAAACTATCCTCTTTAGGCCACCCTTTGAGCCAACGGAGCAAAACAAAATAACCAACCCCCCTCTTCCCACACTAAAACCAACCGTTCAAAAGATCTGCTTCCAAAAAATAATAAAACTCATCAGCAAAGCTCGTTTCCACGGTGCAAAATAACTTACCAATGATAATACTATCGCATTTATTCAAAAAGTGCAAAAGGGACTAAAAACAAGAAAAAGAAACAAAAAGAAGGAAGCGAAAGCAGAGCCTTTATAAAGCCCTCGGCCGAAAAGAAATTTTTTGACAGCTCTTCTTCCCTGTGGCTTTTTTGGCAATCGGCCGCATTCAATCTCCGGGCTTAACAAGCAAAAATGCCTCACTGTCTAGCTTCTATGCTGGTACTGTTGCCATTCACCTCGGCCCATCACTTGGCATTGCCACATCAGCTGAATCAGCCCAATCACCCTGCAGATGGAAAGTCTAGTACAGCACGAAGATCAAGTAACGAAATGGAGGGGCTTCAGTGGGGATCGAATGCTGAGGCTTGAGGCACTCCCTCGGGATTTCCTTTTTTGTAAATATCTTTCCTTTCAGGTATGAAATGGGACAGCCACTCCATCATTGCAGCCACAACAACAAAAAAAACGCGCAGTCAAAATCGCCACCCAGATACAACGTTCTTGTTCTGAGCGCAGCGAGCGGGAAAACAATTTGGTCTAGCTCTTGGTTGATTCATGCTTGGGCAATGCTCCCCCCTGGGAAGCCCAGTCCCAACGCCATGGCAGTGAAGAAACAATGCTCACTCGTGTGAGAATAAATGTCTTATCTTATCTTTCATTTTGGGAAACTCCAACTTCAGTTCCTTCAGGCTGGCTCTGGTGGTTTCTTTCAACCTTCTTTCTCACCTTTTTTTTTTTTTTCCTTTTTCAATCGAAAATGAAGGTGATCGCCTTGATCAGGCAAGTCTCTTGCATCTATTCCGCCCATAGGCATGTATAACATTATCTTCTCTTCAATCTAACGTAGTGGCGGCAAAGACAGTGCCTATAATATGATGCAATGTGTGAATCACGGTCACGAAATCGTAGCTCTGGCCAACATGAAACCCCCTGCAAGCTCAGGAAAAGGTAGCCCATGGGAAACGCCAAACCTGCCAGTCCTGGACTCTTACTATTTTTATCTTATAGACGAGCTTGACAGCTACATGTATCAAACCGTTGGGCACGATGCTATTCACTGCTACGCGGAATGCATGGACTTGCCTTTGTACCGCCGTGACATCATTGGCGCTCCCCTCCAGATGGAAGCTGTTTATGATACCACCGAGAACGATGAGACGGAGGATCTTTACCAGCTCCTTAAAGAAATCAAGGTAAACATGCTCTTTCCTAAACACACCAGACTTGCCCTGTGGCTCACTGAGGCTCACTTTGGTTCTCTTCGTGGTTTAGGAAAAGCATCCCGATGCAAAAGGCGTGTCGGTAGGTGCGATTTTGTCCAATTATCAGCGTGTCCGTGTCGAGCATGTGTAAACAAAAAAAAAAAAAAAAGACTTTGGCGCGAGAGATCTTATTTTTTTTTTTTACACTTACAGGTGTGAACGCTTGGGCCTGGAATCATTGGCGTATCTCTGGGAACGCAATCAAAAGGAACTGCTGGCAGAAATGGCTGACGCTGGAGTAAACGCAATTCTTATCAAGGTGGCTGCCATGGGACTGAAACCGTACCAACATCTTGGCAAGACCATCGCCGAAATGTACCCCGTTCTTTGCGATTTGGTAAAGAAAAAAACGCTGTGTAGATCTCAAACCAAGGCTGACCCTTCTCTCTCTTTTTTTTTTTTTTTTTGTATCTCTCGGTCGGTCTCAGAATGAAAAATACGACGTGCACATCTGTGGTGAAGGTGGTGAATTTGAAACATTCACTCTGGACTGCCCCTTGTTCAAAAAGCGCATTGTCCTGTAAGTGACGTCGGAAAAAGAGCCTACAGCGACAGTTGACTCAACCCTCTCCCTCTCTTTTTATTTATTCTTAGAGATGAAACGGAAGTAGTCATCCATTCGGAAGACGTGTTCGCGCCTGTAGGCTACTTGCAACTAAAGAAATGCCATCTTGAAGATAAATAACAATAAAAAAGTAGGATACCAAACGTCGATGCGGCTGCTGTCCCCAAAGAAAAAAAAGTACACAGTGAAGCTTGTCGGGGCTTAGACTCACTTTGTGGAACACATTGGCCATGCTGATGGGGCAGAAGTTGGCTGGTTGGGAAGGATAGTGCACTCGGGTATGCATGTCATGGGTCCCCTTTGTTATCCAGTCGCTGATGTTCATTCGCAGCCAGAAGAGGCTCCCGCTCAATATCATGAAAAAAAAAAATCGGCGGTTGAATTTTTCGCTGCAAAAATGCTCTTTCACCAAATCTTCTCGTTTTTGACGCTTTTTTAGCTGGGGGATCGAAGACCGTAAATCATGATACTTCAAAGTTTGGCTGGACAACCTTGCTCAATCAATATGATTTTTTCATCAACATTAGTTGCTGTCATTGTCTGTACCTATACAAAATTTGAATTGAATCCAATAGTTCAAACCTGTTCTACAGCAATTTTTCAATTTTTCAAAATCCCTTAGGATACCCTAGCCTTTTTAGATGGCAAACATGTGGATCGGAGATGTCAAAACGAAAGTGATCAATACTTGGCTGGGCAATCTTCATCAATTGACGTGAATTTTTCAGGATCATCATCATTCATTGGTTTGGGCACTGTTGCATATTTGCACATTGTTCTGACCACCTGAAAGTGCAGTGCAGCGCTTGCTTTTTTTTTTTTTTTTTTTTTTTTTTTACGAAGCGAAGAGAGCGCAGTATTCAGCTTCCGCGCAGTTGTTTTTTTATTTTTATTCTGGTCTTGTCTTTTCCCTCTTGGGCACCTAATCTACTGATTATTGTCTTTGCCATCCGACCACCAGTGACTTGCAACGACCTGTGAAAAGGTGCATGAAAAGCCTCACCTACGAGTCATGTCACATTACTATTCACAAAGTCGCAAGAATTCCGTCAAACCAGGGCTGAAGGCTGGTGTCGACTTTATGCATAATTGCGTCGTCGTTGACAAGTCAGCGGTCTAACTTCCTACTCTCTTTACCATAGAAAACAGAACATTGACTCTGCGCTCACAATTCAAGCCCTAAGCCTGCCTTATATTAACCAGTCTGTTGCTTCAAGGGTTCTTGATGGGTTCCTGCTAGTTTATTAAAAAATATGTCTTTTCACAGCGCAACTTTGGACATGGTAAAGAAATAAAAAAAAACCACGATATCATTTGGCACCGTGCTGCATCGCTTCAGCAGACGAGCAATGCGTTTGAGACCTCGGTATCATGGCTCACGACAAGTAAATGTATTCCCTGACAGTAAAAGGTATCGTCCATCTCAAAAAGATGGGCTTGGCATAGGCTAGCTAAAGGACAAAAAAAAAAAAGAGCTACGACGATCACAGCGAAAAAAAGAACTCTCAGACGGGGAATTGAACCCCGGTCTCCCGCGTGACAGGCGGGGATACTCACCACTATACTATCTGAGACAGATATTTTGTGAAACACAAAAGTAATCCTGTTGTGGTTTCGGTAATTCGGCGGCCGAATTACCGTAGGCTCCTGATTGGGTAAAGTCTTGCTCCTCTCTTCCTTTTGAGATGGACCACACCTTTTGCTGTCAGGGAAAACCGTGCATTTACTTGTCGTGAACCATGATACCGACGTCTCAAACGCATTGCTCGTCTGCTGAAGCGATGCAGCACGGTGCCAAAAGATATCGTGGTTTTTTTTTCCTTTCTTTTACCATGTCCAAGGTATCACGTTTGACTGCGCAGGTGGCAGTAAAATTTACCGATTTTTTTTTTTTTGTCAGACGCACTTCTCTCAGCTGGCCCCTGCTGCCTGAAAATGAAATGTGCTCATGAAATGCTGTCTGAGAGCTTGGTAAAAGAAAGGAAGAAATAAAGCACAATATTTCTAAACACCAAGCTGGATCATCAGATGACAGGCAACAGTCGAACTGTGACTGGCTCATTTTGTACGTAATCTCCAGCGCGTAATGCATGCAAGACGTTGGTATCATGGTTCACGACAAGTAAAGATACCGCCTGACAGCAAAAGGTGTGGTCGTCCATCTCAAAAAAATGGGTTTGAGCCTAGCTATGACAAAAAAAAAAAAAAAACGAGCTGCGAAGATTCACAGCGAAAAAAGAACTCTCAGACGGGGAATTGAACCCCGGTCTCCCGCGTGACAGGCGGGGATACTCACCACTATACTATCTGAGAGAGATATTTTGAACTAATTAAAATATTTCATTTCCCGCGCGCATGATCACGTGACTAACATCGCCGGGCATGTCCGGTCCGGACCTCGGGACAACCCGGTGTGAGCCCGGTATCCATTTCTCTTTCGCGGTGCTTCCCCGATGTCACTCAAAAATGGAACACCGCCCGGACCAGGCCGGAAATGTTTACCCCGTATTAAAAGATCATACTATCACTGTCGCTTTTTATTTTAAACAACTCTGAATCCATTGCGTATTATTTTGATCATCCACAGATCAACAGCTTATATAATAGAAAAGGGTATCATGTACTCAGCTACTCACGGATGTAGCGGCACTGAAGAGCACCAACAGCTGCACTGCTGATGGGGTGAAGAAATGAGAAAAACTGAGTAGCTTCTTTTTTTTTTTTTTACAGGAACATATGATTTTACCAGCACATGACACAAACCATTCTGCAGCCATGGTCAAAGTACGATGGAAGAGATTGGTGAGAGAATCAACATTGGTGACGTGTGATTGATTCTGGCAAGACGATGAAACAGAAAAAAAAAACAGGAGAAAATGAGACGGAGCCTCTTTTCTTTTGCATCATCTAACACATAGTTTACTATAGGAACAGGCTACACGTGTTGGCAGTGTGCTGCTGCAGACATGACATGCAGTATGAGCTGTGGTAAAAGCTGATTGATAGCCATCAACTGTCAAGAGGAAAAAAAAAAAAAAAAAAAAAAAAAAAGCTAGCAACGATTAAAGACACGCGTTGAATCGAAGACTCAATTTTCACACCCGACTTGTATCATATACAATGAGAAGATGCTACTGAAGAGCATGATGAGTAGAAGCAAGATTATACAAGTACCTTGACTGACGCCAAGAGAATGAAAAAAAAAAACGTTATGGAGCAGAGGATACGAAAAAAAAAAAAAAAGGTGAATTTGAATTCTAGCTAAAAACGGAAGGTTGCGGAGTTACAGTCATTGGCTTTTACTGGAGCGACTGTCTCACCAAACAAAAGGATGTTGCTGCAGCACTTATGGCTGAGGTCAAAATGAGACTGATCAAACGTTGGCTGGGCAACCTTCACCAATCGACCTGAATTTTTCAGAATCATCATCATTCGTTCATTTGCGCTTTTGAGCAAAATTTCATATCGATCCGATCACTCAAACGTGCTGCATAGCTTTGGTTTAATTTTTTTCAAAGTGACGAAAAAAGTTGGATTGCCATATTCAGCTTCCGCACCGTAGCTTTTTTTTTAGTCAATGGTTGTTTTTTTTTTTTCTTTCAACAACCTGCATCCCAAGAACACTTAATTATACTACACTTTTCTATGTGGGAAACAGACGTCGAGTTACGGAATGGTAATGGCATTGACATAATCCAGCTATGTGTCTTTGCTACAGGCACCACACTTGAAGCATCTCGTGCTGCATTATGTCCCTGCACCTATTTTTTTTTTTTAGCTAGCGTTTGTAAAAAGACGGGGATCTGGAACGCATTTAGCCTGAGGATGGAGCCATCAATGCAAGATCGATAGGGTTAAGTACAAGTTGCAAGGGCTCTAGGTTAGCCCTGCATAGAAAAATACAGGGGCGCTTTCTTTCCCTTTTTTTTGTTTTTGTTTCCCTGGACCTTGTACTTTTCTCAGTTTTCATTCCTAGCTCTAAATATCGGACATGAGAAAGTATGATTTGATAGAACATCCGTATTTTCTTTTTTTTTTACAGTACGGTTCTGATATGAGGCGATGATACGGTATATCTAGTTCATCGCCACGTCCTATCCAAAGGTCAGCTGGCGGAAATTCAAATTTGATGGTGCGTCTTGCCAAAATTGGCAATCTCAAATACTGTAAAAGGATACAGTGTGTGGTCTACAGCACTTTTGGACTTGGATATGCACTCCTTCGAATGATGGCAATACTGAAATAATCAGGTAAGTTGACAAAGGTCACCGGCTAACCTTGTAGATTATAATTTGATAAGCTTCTGTTATCCGGTTGAAAAATCGATGAAGTGCTGTGAAAAAAAAAGCATCACCCATTCAACCATGATGAGGTATGGCCGTGGTAAAAGCATAGGTCTCACAGTCGTGGTAGAGTTGAGCTAGTTGGACGCAAAGAATCGACACCAATCAAACTTGGATGGAAGTATTTTTTTTATTAAAGATAAACTAGTATACAGCACTTTTGAGTGAATGGATCGACGTGATATTTTGCACAGATATCCAAAGCTGTGGATAATGATGGTCATGAAAAAAGCAGGTTGATTGATAAAGGCAGACCAGCAGCTTAGTTCTGACGCCCTCATTTCCAGCCATCCACAGAAACAGCCATTTTTGCGAGCTTACCTTGATCAAGTTTCAAATTATCGATGCACTCCAATGTTTAATACGAGTATAAAGTGATGAAAAATGAATGCACATATCTCTCAGACAACGTAGTAAAGAGCCAGTGGGGTCGAGATTAGATTAAAAATAAAGGGAGGGCGTGATGAAGCCTTCAAGCACTGACCATGATGCAAAGCAAAAAAAAAAAAGAAAACCAAATAGCGTAACCTCAGACCCCGGGCTCTTTCTTTCCTGCTTTTTTTTTTTTTTTTTTTTTTTGGCAAGTCGCTCATTAGTTTTATTCTTTGCAGAAATGCACCAGGATACCAATGCGATGGAGACATTGATAGAACGGTATAAAGACGATGCATTCTTTTTTACATGGCATGACGGCACATCGGGGAGTGAGGATGGCTCAGGACCAGAGACGCATCAACGACTGCTGGTGTTGGATGCATCATTCAATCCACCTACCAAGGCGCATTATGGTCTGCTGCTGGAGGCATGGCGACAGCATGGACACAATTACGATGCTGGTCTCCTGCTTTTCAGCATCAACAATGCCGACAAGCAGCTGAATGGCGCGTCGGTGAGCCAACGATTGTGTATGATGGAGCTGCTGGCCAATCAATGGCGCCTTGACCAACGCCAAGCCAACCACCCGACCTTTCCTATACTTGTTGGCTTGACGACCAAGGCGCGCTTTATAGACAAGATAGAGGCGATCCACCAGCATGCGCCTTGGGTGCGTGACATGGCATTTATCGTGGGCATGGACACCATGACGCGGCTGTTCGACCCGAAATACTACCCAGGCGAGCTAACATTGCAGCAGTCGCTGGAGCCACTTTTCTCTCGCGCATCTTTGATTGTGGCGGATCGTCCTGGCCACGACGACCCTGCGTTTTGGCACCAGCCGGCCGTCCAGGCATCCCTTCACAGGATCCATCGGTTCAGCCTTGCTACGTCGGTGGCTACCTTGTCCAGCACACTGGCCCGCCAAGCTATCTTGGATCACCAGCGCCTGGAGCCCATTTTATTTCCTGATATCATCCAATTCATCCAACAGCAGCATCTATATCAGCAATAAAAAAATCATGCAATGGTATCGCTGGGAAGGGTGGTGGCTTTTTGGAGATCCGACAGAAAAAAAGGAAGGCACCACACTTTCTTTTTTTTTTTTTTTTTTTTTTTTTTTTCACTTGTCTTTAGCACAATGAGCCTTGCACGATCGTTTCTCCAAAGGAGGGCCGTCAGTATTCGTTCAGGGTCTTTGTGGATGGCCCAGCGTGGATTGACATGCAGCCACACCAACAACAACAACAACAACCCATTAGACACACTTGTCCAAGGCTTTCAGGCTGTCAAAACGACGATCGTCAACAATACGCCTCTCCGCCATGTGACGAAACCGACGATGGAAACACTGCCATTTACTGGCAAGGCAGCCAATTGGCACGATGCTGTACGCGAAGCTCAAGGTCTGGTGCACACCGGCAATGACCATGATCGCATGATGGATCCAGCCAAGCTACTGGGTGACGATGTGTGGGAGCTCAAGGACCATATCAAGCGGTTGTTGGGCAGTGGCCACCCGTTTATGAAAACCCTGGTCAAGCACTACCTGGCGAGTGACACGGAGCGGATCCGACCATTGGTCGTGCAGCTGATGGCCCTGGCCAGTAGTCCCGACCAGGTGATCCTGGACCAGCAACGCCGCCTCGGTGAAATCTCGGAAATGATCTATATCTCGTCACTGCTGCATTACGATATCCTGGACGACAATGGGGAGCCGGCAAATGTGTTTGGCAACAAGATGGCAGTACTGGGGGGTGATTTTTTGTTAGCGCGGGCGTCTTTGGCTCTGGCACAGCTGCGCAATGCCGAGTGCATTGAGCTGATGGCTACATGCATTGCTAATTTGGTCGAGGGTGAGGTGCTACATCTCAAGAAGAACAATGGCAAGGTCTCGATGGATGATTACCTGCAGCAATGCTACCTCAAGACTGCGTCGCTGATCGCCCAAAGTTGTAAATCCTCGGTGGTTCTTGGCGGCAACGATGATAGCATGGCCCAGCAGGCTTATGAGTATGGACGAAATCTAGGAATGGCTCTACAGGTAAATTTAAAAATGACGAGGCTTGGGATATTCATTTTTTTTTTTTTTTGTCTGCAGTTGACCAGCGATATCCAGCAATTTGCCAAAGCCAGTACCTCCATGGATCGCGCACCAGTGCTCTCACCACCTTTGCTCTTTGCAGCTGAAGAAATCCCGGAGCTGAATGAAATCATTGATCGTCAGTTTGAACAAGCCGACGACTTGGAGAAGGTAAAAATAAGCTTGGAAGGAGAGGCGCTCACTCTTTTTCCGCTTAGACACGTCTGCTGGTCTATCAAAGTCAAGGCTTGAAGCGTACGTTTGACTTGATCCATACCCATCAACAAGCTGCCGTGGCCGTGGCTGAACAATTCAAACCTTCCCAAGCCCAACAGTCGCTTGTGCAGTTGGCCCAACACATCTCGACCTAAAGGCCTTTATATATATATATGTGTGTGTGTGTGTGTAGGATAGTTTTACAGTAGAGAGGCATTAAAATAGAGCCATTTTCTTTCCAAAAAAAAAAAAAGAAAAAAAGCGCCGAAAAGAGAGTGCAAATGGAACGTTGCATC